GGATGGCTGGGCTCTACCAAAGCCACATTCCATGCTCCCATATCTGGGCAAGGCAAGGGTACTCTAGTGTTATGCTGCTGCCTGGTACAGCCCAGGTCCATCAAAGGTGCTCCAACGTGCTACCAAACAGGCCCAGTGCAGGAACATCAGGATAAATGTATTTAAGAAGCAACAGCTATAACCATCCCCATCAAAGATAAAGAAGAGTGCCCAGGATGAGACTGAGCTGCAAAGGCTGCCACTTGGGAGAGATGCTGAGACGTGCTCAGAAGCATCTTCCAGGATACAGCACCATCTGTGGGATTAGTGGCCAACAGCTCGCTCCATTACCTGGTTGGAAGTAAAGAAAGGAGAGGCTCTGCGGGGTGGTGGGAAGGGCCGAGGGGAGGATGTGGAGCATGGTATCAGAGGTTGCTGCAGGAGTAAGATGTTACTGGGATCAGCAAGGCACAGCCACAGATCCCAGCCTCATAATAGGTCCCATACAACATAGAAGCATCTCAGAGCTTGGGACAGCTTCTGGAGCAGGGAAGGCAGAGGAGCAAAAACTCTGAAAACCTGTACCTGCTGGAGGAAGTGCTGGGGGAAAGACTTGGGAGACATCCCTCTGAAGTCAGGGCGCTTGTGCCGTGGGGAACCCACATACCCCCTCTGCACAGGGGAGCCGAGGAAGTCGAGGGCCATGTTGGTGGCAGTAGGCGGCCTCTCCAGGACCTGCAGGATGGCTTTGTCCTGTGGGAGGAGATGGCAGATGAAGGAAATGGAGCCTTGACTGCTCAGCACCATAAGGGACACACAGGTAGAGCCCCAAGGACGCACCTCTAGCATGTGGTGGGGTGGAATGCTGCTGGGGCAAGAGCCCCATGCCATGGGATCCATTGCCAGCTGGAAGACAAACAGAGATCAGCACGGGGAGAGGAGAGGCAAGTGACACTCAGTCTCTGTTACTAGTGTGGAGGGAATGTTTTTACCATGTCCTCTTGGCCAAATTCTGCCCAGTCAGAGCCAATCCTGCTGTCCAGCACCGCTGAGTCCTGGCTCTGAGAGCAAAGAGAACAGTTAGTGATGTACACTTTGCAAAAGCACCACGGGCACGACCTTGTTACCTCCCAGAACCACCCCTTGGCCCCCCATGGGACACAGTCCACAATACAAAGATGGAGAAAGGAGCAGCAGGACCACACCACCGACTCTGCTTGGGCACTGGGGGACCCCAGGGATTTCACTCAGGGTCCCATCCCACCCCAACCAGGCATCACCTCCAGCGTGGGCTTGCTCTGTACAGCTCTCATCACTGCTGGGTCTCCCAAGTCGTTGGGTTCCTCCTCATCCTCCTGTTCCTCAACTCCCTGCTCTTCCTCCTCTTCTTCCTCCTCCTCCTCAGAGCCCACCTGCTCAGCCTCTGCCTCTGTCCCACCTTGGCCCTGGAGCTCTCTCTGCTCCTCTGTCGGTGGCTGCCCCTCCACCACTCGGGGCTGTTCTTCAGACTCCAAAAGCTCAGGGCTCCTCTCTGGAGGCACCGGGGTTTTGGTGGCATCCTCCTCAGTGGAGTCACGGTCTTGAAGGAAGAAGCAGAGCACACTGAGGGCAAACAGACACCCCCACCCCCCAGCTCAGCCCCTGCTCAGGACCACCTTCCTCACCACCCCCTCCATCCGCAGTCCTACAGCTGCTGGTGGTCAGCCCGAATCCGGGCTCCTTCTGACCTTACCCAGCCCAAACGTCATTTCATTGTACAGGTCGAGCTCCTCGTCTTCCTCGGCCATCTCCTCCAGCAGAGGAGCATCTTCCACCAGCAGGTAGTCCTCGAGGATCTGGGGGAAGAAAGGGACGGCAACGGGGACACCGGTAAGGCTTCAGAGCGAACGCAGCAGCAGCGCAGCCCCGCATCAGGGCAGGGCGGGCACTCACCACGGGCTCGCCGCCCTCCGCCATGACGCGGCCCCGCCACCCCCGCCGCCCTCTACGGGGCCGCGCTGCCCCGCCCGCCGCCTTTTACGGTTTCCCGCGCTGTAGCTGTCGCGCACGCGCCGTGCCGCGCGGCACCGCCCGTCGACTCAGTGCGCCTGCGCAGCCCCCCCCACCACGTTAGGCCACGCCCACCCGCTTTCGGGAAAGAGAAAGCGAAAACGAAAGCGGTGCTCCTGCCGTGCGCAGGCGCCGTGGGCCGCGCCGCTCCGGCTCCGTAACCTCTACACCGCCGCTCTGCCCGGAGACAGGTGACGCGGCGGGCTTACAGCGCCACCATTGGCTGCGGTTCCAGCGGGCGCAAGCGAGCGGCGGGCGGGGCCATTCCCCGAGAAGCGCGGTGCGGAGCGGACGGAGGAGCGATGGGGAAGGCGGCGGTGATGCTGGTGGCCCTGGTGGCCCTGCTCGGGCTGGCGCAGGCCGATCGTGAGTGCCGGGGCCGGGCGGGAGCGCGGGCGCGGGGTGCTGACCCCTCCTTTGGGGTCGCTCCCCTTGCGGGGCTCCCCCCGCTCAGCACCCCTCCGTCCCCGCAGTGACGCCCAAGGTACAGGTGTACTCCCGCTTCCCCGCCTCCGCGGGCACCAAGAACGTCCTCAACTGCTTCGCGTCCGGCTTCCACCCGCCCAAGATCTCCATCACGCTGATGAAGGACGGCGTGCCCATGGAGGGCGCGCAGTACTCCGACATGTCCTTCAACGACGACTGGAGCTTCCAGCGCCTGGTGTACGCCGACTTCACGCCCAGCAGCGACGCCGTCTACACGTGCAAGGTGGAGCACGAGACCCTGAAAGAGCCGCAGGTCTACAAGTGGGGTATGGCCGCCTCCTCCTCTACCCTGTGCTGCCGGCCCCGTGGCCGTGAGCGCCCGTGGCCCTGAGCTCCATCGTTCTGGGCCCTGACATCGCTTCTTTCTCTCCTTAGATCCCGACTTCTGAGCTGTGCCCGGGATGAGCACGGTGAGTGACGTCCTGTGGGTAAAGGGAGGCCCCCTAAATAGCCCACAGAGCCAACAACAGGACGAACGATCACAAGATCCCCTTGTTCCCACTGGCAGCTAGCAGGGCTGTTCTGAAGCTCTTTCTGCTTAATATTACAACCGCTGCTCACCCGCACCCAGCCTAGGAGCCCTGCTTTTCCTCCCAGAAGAGAGCAGTCGCTTGGAGCAAAGCTCTTTGGAACGTCTGCAGGCCGCCAATACGAGCTGTCACTGCCCATTTCAGTGCTTTTCCTCCCCACCAGCCAGGAGAATGGCATCACAGGGTCTGGAAGTTCCCCTGCTTGGAAATCCCCTGCACCTCAGGGAAGGCAGGATGGTTAGCCTGCGGTGGGCATGGCAGAGTCAGCTTGGTGTGAATAGCAAGCCCTACCCATGATGGAGAAAACTGCATCATGGCTGAAAGAACTGCAGTACAGCTTGAAACTGAAACTCCTTTGCTGAGATCTCTGTTTGAGGCTGGTTGAATATTGACAGTGGGAGCTGAGCCTTTTCCAGGGAAGTTCCCTCCCAGCTAGCTCGGGAAACAAGGGTTTTAGGCTGACTCATGGGTCATGAGTCACGTGAACTTTAGGATGGAGCAGGAAGGGAACTCTTGGGCTTAACTTCTTGAGGTGTAGAAGGATCACAGTGCTTTACCTGCCTCTGTTTTCCAAAATGCTTTTGAGCTCTTCCTGCAAAGGCTGGGAGGGGTGCTGGTATTCAGGAACGGGAGAAAATAGGGGTGAAGTGAACAGGGGAGGAAGAGGGTACTCTTAATTAGCAGCACAAAAACCTGCAATACTGAGAGGCTGGAAAGTCTCGAAAGCTAAAAAATGGTTGCATTGGAAGAACAGGTTCTTAAAAAATAATTTAGCAGTTGAAGCAGTGCACAGAGCAATTGATATCAATCTCCTCTCTCCCATGCAGGTCTGAAGAATTCTGCATTTCAAGTGGAAATGAGCTTGAGCTTCTGTCCTTTTTTGCATCACACTTCTGGGTAGGATGGCAAAGAGCAAGCATCTTCATCATGAAATTCCTTTAGGATGCTCTCCTAGGGTTAGCAGCAGTGCTCTGAAATCTGTGCTCCTGGAAAAGCATGGGGGGGGGGGGAGTTATGGAGGGGAGGGGATGGGAATGGGGAAGGGGGGGTGCTGCCTTGCAGCCTTCAGGCATGCAGCAGATGGTTTGCAAATACGGAGATGCTGTTGAAGGTACCCTGACCTGTTGCTTAGGATGAAGGAAGATGCAAAGCAAGCTGATTGGGATTGGAATTGTGAAAATTTATAATGCAAATTCATGCCTTTGAAACTTGTGCATAACTGTGCAAATTCACAACTCTGAAACTTGTGTGTTCCCCAGGAAAGGAACAGAATTAATAGCAATAAATCAGTAAAGCCTGCTCTCCAACAGCTGTTCTCCATAAACAATTGCTGGAGCTTGTGTTAAAATACCTTTGACTTGGAGCAGCGTTCTATCTTGGCTTATCTGAGCACGTAGCTCTCAGTATCTGCACTGCCACTGGAGCTCTTCACCGGTCTGAATTGTACACAAATTTTACCCAATAAAACCAGAAAAGACAAAATTATGATTTTCAGGGCGCAGGGAGCTGCCTGGGGAGGCATTACCCAACCTGAGCGCTGCTGTGGCTCCTGGGGGGCTGCTGTGGTGACGTCGTGCTGCTGGGTCCAGCTGGACGTGGTGGGTGCAGATCTCAGCTCTGGGCTGAGTTCTCGCAGTGCTTTCATGGATGAAGATTGTGTTGCTCGAGGTTGACGCAGTTCCGGCTTGTTTTGTAGATCGCTCTGTTGCATTTGCGCTGCCTATGCTGAGCAATGAGATGTGTGCAAACCTCTGCCTTTCTGCTTTGCCCCACGCTTTACTCAAGGACGCGTCGTTTGCTGACGAGCTCCTCACCTCAGATTAAAATACCTGAAAACAGGGTTTGGTCTGAACATTCCTGGCCGGAAAGCTGCGCTCCCAGCCTTGGCTCATTCCCCCCCCCCCCCCCCCTCACCCCTCAGCGTTTCCCGCCGCTGCCCCTCAGCTTCCCGCCGCCATGTTTAAGGGCTGCCAGGCCTGGTTCTCCCACAGCGTCCAGCCCGGCCCCCGGCAGCTGTGGGGTGAGCCGTGGGGTGGTTGTGGGGCTGTCTTGGGGTGTGTGGGGACGCGCTGGGGCGGGGGGAGCACGGAACGGGGCGGGGGATTCGCAGCAGAGTGTAGGAAATGCGTTGGGGTGCGTGAGGGGGTGAGCTGGGCTGCGCTGACAGCGCGGCACGAGGGCGCGTGGTGTTGGGCTCACCTGACGCTGCTGGTGTCTGCGCCGTGATGGACGCAGCGGGCTGTGTGACGCACGGGGGTTCACCTTCCTCCTCACCCTGCTCTTCCTCCCGCAGTGGCTGGCGGAGGGCTGCTCACCCGCTGGCAGGACGCCGACTATCTCTTCAGCAGCGATGCTGCTCACCCCGATACCCGCAGGTTGGCTCTGTCCCCCCTGAGCGCCACCCCCGGTGCCCAGCACACACCTGGGAAGGTCCCGTTCGGGGTTGGCCGTCTCTGTTGCTCGCTGATGGCTCTGCTGGTTTGTGGGGGGCAAAAGGCAGTGAAGTGCAGCTGATGGGAATGCTTGCATTAACGCTGACGTTCCCCAGTGGTGGGGATGGCGTTGTGAGGCTGCTGACATGGCTTTTTGTGGGAGAGCAGAGCAAGGTGGGAGCTGATCCATCTGCACTCACACCAGCGGAAATAAAACCCGCCTGGACTTAGTGCTGTGCAAGACCTGCGTGCAGAACCAGCTGATACCTGTAGCTGGGTAAATGGGGCTGACCTGCTACGAAAGCCTGGGGTCTGAAATAAAGTTGGCACCACCCCAGGGCTTATGGGGCAAACAGGGAAGTAACCACAGGCAAAAAAAAAACAAAACAAAACAAAACTGAAACAAGCAGGAGGTAACAGAACACTGCTGATTCCAGACCGATCAAAGCCAAAGCTTCTTCCGTTTGGCTCGTAGTTGTGCTTACCTTTAGAAATCACCCCTTTTCTTTCCCAGCATACACGAGAGCCTGCAGTACCTGGATGGCAGAGCTACAGTGTTCCATCCCTGTTACCTCTCGGCGTGGCTGAACAGCAGCACTGCCAAGCAGCAGCCCGTGGCTCTGGGGCACTTCGTGCTGCCCCCCGCCTGCCTGCAGGAAGGTGAGGGGCTGTGCCCCATCCCCTTGCTCCGAGGGCTGATTTCCTTCTGCTGGGAGCGATGCCTCCTCCCCAGGGCTGAGGAATCGGTGCCCCACTGCTCAGGGCGCAGCGCTGCTCACTGGGCTGCTGTTACACTCATTTATTTTTTTTGCTCACGGCAGAAATCAGGAGAAAAATAGGTAGATTTCCTTGGGAGCAAATGGATGATTCCCTTGTGGAACAGGTGCGTGAGAAACACCCCACGTAGGTGCTGTAACAACTTGTGTCAGCCTCTAGTGCTGCTGCCCACAGCTGTGGGTGCCCCATCCCCAGAGGTGACAAGGCCAGGGGTGGGCAGCCTGGGCTGGGGGCAGGCAGCTCAATGCAGGGTGGGGTTGGGGGGGGCCCTTCCAATTCTAAGAGTCTGGGACTCTGGCTTTCTCTGCAAATCATTCAGCTCCCACTGCGCGCTGTCCTCTTGAGGTCATTCCTCAGTACGTTCGAAGCAAAAAGTATTGCTGGGTTGAAAACTTTCTTGTGAATGGTGCACCATTTTAAATGAATTCTGCACTGATCATCACAGCCTGAAGAAAATCTGTCTGATGAACCAGAGACTGTGAGCAAGGAGTGCGAGCAAGGAGCAGGGGAGGATGCACAGAACCTACCTGAAAGGTATTTCTGGCCATGGCAAGGGGACTTGGAGGCGTCTTAATCTGTTAGAAAATACCCAGCACAGAGTAACACACGATTCCTCCCAACACAGCAGTGAAGGAAAAAGGGGCTCAAGAGCATCCAGCCAGGAAGTTCCATGCCATACACTCCAGGAATACCCGATAAATAACATGGTGACAGGTAATGTGCAGCTTGGGTAGGCCTGTAAGTGGAAGACAGCCTGGAAATGGCTGCAGATGCTGGTGGAGTCAGGGCTACCCCCAGGGATTGCTCTATACCTACCTGCCAGACCCCAAGACTGCTAAAATTCACCCAGAAGATTGTCTTGGGTTTTATTGACGCCGCTGTTCCTGATGGCTCTGCACTGCTCGTTGCTCATTGTTCCCATTTGCAGTGTGCAATCCCTGGTGCAGAATCATGCAGGTATGGAGGTCCACGGTCCCAGGTTGCCCCTCGATGCTGATGCTTATTCCCAGTTGTTACAAACTCCCGAGGGCACAGCTGGGATTGCACCTGAACGCCTCCCACGTTCCACAGCTCCCACTTCACCCAACAGAGTAACGCTGGGCTTTAGAGCAGCACTTTCCATCCCTAGGCTACACTTCTGCCCGTGACATGAGGAAATACACCGGAGAGCTACACGACTTCACTCCTGGCACCGCGGGCTGCACCGCCTACTGGGTTTATCATGAAATCAGCCTAAAAAATTCTAAGTAACAGGCAGCTGTTCTCAGCAAAACCTTAACTGAGCGCTGCCCGACACCATCAGCCAGCTATGGCAGTCCAGTTCTGTTTACCAGCATCCTGTGGTTGCTGCAAGTAATGCTGCCTTCCCTGCCTTCCTGCAGATTGATCGTTATTCCAGTGCGCAGCCTTTGTTATCACTGCATTTTAGTTACACAGTGAAAAGATTGGTGACACTGAGCTGCAAATTCCAAGTTAAATCCCTGCGGTGCTTGAGGGAGCTCTAAGCTATCTGTGTTTGGTTTGTCCTCGTGACAGCTCAGTATACTTTACATACCTGCCTGCATTTGTTGTAAATGTTTTTTTTCCTAACTACTGAAAGCAAATTCCACAGCAAACATAAATACAGGTGTTTCCCCCAAAGAGCAAACCCTCTGCCTTTTCATTTGTATGGGGTACTGAACGTGTGTGCCATGGCTGCCAACGGTCAGGAGAGCCTTTGGCTCAGGGCCTCCAGGGAGCCCTGTGGGTTGAGTGGGTTCTGAGCACAGGCCCCGATGTTCTCCTTACCAAAACCCATGTAAACCACAGGCTTGAACACAAACGCAGACACTGATCGTGGAAAAGGTAGGGAAGGAAACAGGCTGAGAACCCTTATCTGCTGGAGGAGCCTGGGAGAATGGCAGGGACCGGTAGGTTCTCCGCACAGCAGGATGGGAGCTGTGGGGTGAATGCAGCCCTCTCTGGGGACAGTGGTAGGAGACCCATCTCCTGGGGGTCCTCCTGGGGGCTCCAGGGCCCGTCTCCATATGGGCTTCCTCCCAGACAGCTCGTTGCTCAGCTCAGTTCGCTCCCCTTGTAGAAATAAACACAGAGACTTTTCCTCTTCCATCTAAGCACTGAGAGATACGGTCAGAAAGACAGCTTTTATTCTGGCACAGCACGACCTTGCGAGCTTCCCACTCAAAGCTGGGAGGCTCTGAGGTCGCTCCATGTTTGCCTTCTCCCAACCGCGCTCCACCACCCCGACATTAGTAACAACATTGCCAAGCAACAGCTCTGCACTCTCGCCCCAAACAACCAGGAAGGTGTCAAGTCCTCCTCGCACTGCGATACCTCGGATGCAGCACCCAGGGAGGCCCTCCGCTCCGCCCCGCCGTGGGCTTTGAAAGAACGAGCAGGCCGACTTGGTTTCCCACATTTATTGTAAAAGCAACACAGCGAGCGGCTCAGAGCGCGCCTCGCGGCGTTTTGAAGTTCATCCCCACCGTGGGCTGCGTGACCTGCAGGTTGGACAGGCTGCCGAAGTCCTGAAAAAGAGCCTGGGGTCAGCAGTGTGCCCAGACCCACCGAGGGAGGAGGCGGAGCCCTCCCGGCCACGGGGACAGGACGTTCCAGGCTGTCAGCAGCCCCAGGAGCACTGCTGGGGACACGGTCACCACCTGGGCTGGGTTGCACCAGGCCGCAGGGTGGCCTGAGCTACTCACCAGGAGCTTCAGCATTTCCTTGGTGTCCGGGTCCACTTCAATGATCTCCTGATCGAGAGCAGAGACCTGGGGACAGAAGAGAGACAGCAAAGGTTTGGCTGTGCCTTGGGGAGAGCCGATCCACTGCCCCCACCGGAGTGAGCCAGGAGGAACCCGATCAAAACACCTCGCAATTCCCCTCTCCAGACCTCGACCTCTGTGCGCTCCCTTCCATTATAGGCTACACCACACCAGTAAGAAACAAGTAGGTTCATCCTGCAGCTCCTTCCCCGCTCAGCAGCTGCGACCTGTCCCATCTTCCCATCTGCAGCTGAGCGCAGCCCCCTGCAGCAGACACAGCTGACGCCCAAGGGCTCTGAGAGCAGCTGCACAGTGCTGCTCCCTTCCAGACACCACGAGTGAGGAATCACACCAAGCCCAGGCGCCGGGCTCATCACCCCATCCCGGCCTACAAAACTATCTGCTTACCCAGATTTAAAATAAGCAAACCAAGCACCAGCAAACTAGGAGAACTGAAGAGCACAAATAAGCAGACTGAATCAAACAGCAGCTAACAGCATTACAGGAGATCAGGAAGAGGAGCACAAAGCCGATGTCCGAATGCTACAGGGTTTGGGAGGGATGGCATGGACCCAACCAAACACGGGAAATGCTTTCGGGTTCCTCTCCCTGCACTATCAATGACCGGGCCACGCAGCAGACCACGATCACTTTCGAATGCAGGTTCGGGGGGTCCCCGCGGGGTGGCTGTGCTGTGGGACCGGCTCAGCGCTGTGGCACCGAACCACGGCTGCCCTTCAGCGACATCTGCTGCACGGCGGCTTCGGGCCGTGCTGTGCGTCGAGCTGATATCGAGTTTATTTTCAGCTAGGGAAAGGAAGGGCAGCGCCCTCCGGCCGGCAACGGTGCCGACTAAACGAAGGCGGCAGCGCCCGAGGGAACGCCGTGCTGGGCTACGGTGCGTCCCAGCTCTGCCCCGTGCCCGGCCCCCTCGGCGACGCGCTCCGCAGCCCGGCGCTCTGAAAGCACCGCTCTCAGGAAACAGCCCCGTGCCGCAGCCCGAGCCCCCAGCCCACGTGAGCGCGGCCGGCCGCACCTCGGGCACGTAGTTGTCCCGGCGCTCCCTCTCCTCCTCCTGCAGCTTGATGGAGATGCCCCGGACGGGGCCCCGCTGGATGCGCTTCATCAGGTGGGTGACATACCTGTGGGACAGGCGGCGTGACGGGGCGGCAGACAGACAGACACACACACACACACAGCCGGGCTGAGCCCCGGGGCCCGAGCACGGCAGGGTTCCGCTCCCCCCGGGCCTCACCCCGCGATCTTGTTCCGCAGCTTCTTGCTGGGGATGATGGCGATCTCCTCGCACACGCGCTTGTTGGTGTGGAAGTCGTTGCCCAGCCGGGTGTAGTACTTCTCGATGATCACCCGCGCCGCCTTCTTCACCGTCTTCGTCCTCACGCGTCCCTGCGGGGACACGCACCGCCGCTCGCCAGCCGCCCTCCGCCCCTACGGCCCGCCGCCCCCCAGCAACCCGCCCCGCGCTCCGGAGCCCCGCGATGAGCCGCCCCGGCGGCCGATGGCGGCGGATGGCGGCGGCCGGGACTCACCATGGCTGCGGCTGCCGCAGAGAAAGAGAACGCAAAGGAGGGCCGGAAGCGGGAGTGGACGCCGGAAGCGCGCGCAGCGCACAGCGCCCCCTGGCGGGCAGGAGGACCGCGCTGCCGCAGAGGCCCGGAGGGGGCGCGGCCCGGTGCCTCTCCGTGTCCCCGTCGAGCACCGACAGCGGCCCCCGGAGGTCGTGCTGAGTGAAGGAGGCCGGTGCGGCCTCGTCGCTGAGCCCAGCGGCCCTGAGGCCCCGTTCGGGCGCTGCGGGCTGCGACGCGGCCCCAGCCCGCCGTGCAGCCCAGAGGCGCAGCTGTGCTAATGGGCACCCTTAGCCACTGCCTGCCACCGCTACGGGGCAAAGGGGAACCAGGCCCCTAAAGCCAAGCATGAGAAGGGAAGGAGAGACACGTGTAGGGAACCATGGCCCCCCGCACCCAAGGGCACTGGCCACCCTCATCTCAGAAACCTGGGAGGCCCCGTGCAGCACATGGGGCTGCTCTCAGCCCTTCAACGCGCCGAGCACGTCAGCCTCAGTGAGAAGCAAGCTCCAGCTGGAGCCTCAGGCCCAGGGCCTGAAAGTGCAGCTCCCAGTATCTGCATCACCCCCAGTACCAGAGTCACCTCATCTCCATGGAGAGATGATAACAGCTTTAACCCGGGAGCAGGGAGCCCATCCCCCCGCTGCACATGGGTAGAAAGAAAGGAGCACAGAGGGCTTTTTGCTGCAACGTGTTTATTATGTGCCAAAAACTACACCACAGCTTACTCCACGCGTCTGTAGGAGAGTGCAGTCTTGCCTGCATATACTACAATGAGGTAGAGACTTCACACACAGCTTCACGAAAACCCCACAAAGAGCAGCTGGGATATGCAACAATGCAACATCAGCTCAGCAGGAGAGGGAGAAATTATGACACTGGTTCTTTGGCACACAGCTTCTGATAGAGGGGAAAGTAAAAAAAAAAAATCTCAAATCCCAGCAGCATTTCAGTCGACTGCACCATTACTTCATACATTTCTGAAACAAAAGGAAGAGTACTTGTCCCCTCTAAGAGAAAGGGCTCCTATGAACCTCCATCCGTCCGCCGAAACGCAGCCCTTTTTTAGCTAGTTACAAAAGGAAAGTAAGTCCTGTGACTTTGTGATTAAAAACCTCTATCAACCCCCCTTAAGTGCAACAAACTATTTAAAACTATATACAGCAGCTCAGAGATCATTTATCCGGTCCAGTTTCAAATCCAGAAATCCTGTCCTGTTTCTGTTGCAAACGCCTCGATTTACAACTTCCCACCAGCAGCCCCCAGACACAAATTGCAATAATGTTAAAAGCTGCCAGGAAAGAAAAATCTCTCATTTCAAACGACTTAAAAACTGTTTAAGAGTGTAAAAAGGAACTGGTAAAAACCCTTGAGCGTAAAATATGAAATATGATTTGGTTTAAATGAAGAGCAAAGTCTCCTTGTTGTTACAGTAAAAAACGCCAGCTGAACATTCAGTTTATGCCGTTCAGATGGGGGTTAAATGAATGGAAAGGCACTGTATGGCAACTGCAAAAAAATGGAGCCAATGAGACCTGCATTATTACCATCAGTATTGCAAGGAATGTAAAAAAGCGCCTTTAATAAATAAAAAACCTAGGTGAAGGCATCTGCATAAACACCTTCTCAACACGCGGCCCTTTTTGCTTCTCGTCAAACTAGGAACCAAAGTCTGGGAACTGCAGAATCGCTCGAGGGGGCACTTCCCCCCCTCAAAAACCCCAAACAAAACCCGACAAAATTCACTGTGCATTAGTGCAGAAACAAAAAGACCAGCAAGTGCAAACGTGAATGTAAGATTTTCCCATTAGTCCTCAGGAAGCGCGTTCCCAGCCTGGGTCTGGCACCAGCAGGCACGCTCGTGCGCTCTCCACTTGGCAGGTTAACAAAAGGACTTTCCCCCGCGCCCGCGCCCCGACCGCCGCTTTAGCTGGAGTCCCCGTTCTTCTGGTTGCGCATCAGCGGGCGGTGGTGACGCAGGACCTCCATGGAGTGCTGCCAGTGCCAGCAGGAGCGGCAGAAGTACTTGAAGCAGATCTGCAGGGAGAGAAGGGAAAAGAAAAAACGCCGGTCGGGATGGGCTGAGAGCCCCCTGGGCGCTCCCACAGCCGGCACTGGAGAGCTCCGAAGCACGGGGCTCCCGCTTCAGCTGCCCGTCCTCAGCAAGGACAACACGAGACCCCCGAGGACCTCAGCTGTGAGGAGCAGAGCCTGCGCAGCCACGCGGCACCGCCAGCCTTACCTGGTCCCTGCAGAAGAAAGGGCCAGGCTGAGCACTGCAGACTTGGCACATGGAGTCTTCC